AAATGATTTTGCTCCTTCAGGGAGCAGAAGCAGAAGTTGGAGTGTTTGGGTGAAATTCCAAAACCACTGCTGGAGCTCTAATTTACTCTCAAAATCAATTTTTTTAGAAGTTGGGGATACCAGCTTTGAAAAGTGATTCTGCTTCTGCTTCAGAATCAGTTCCAAACACCCCCTCAATCTTATAAACCCTGAACCCCAAACTTGTGTATCTCCTGCAATTAGCACTGAAATCAGCCTCAATCGGTGTACTGAAATAAGCAGACAGCAGCGCTGTGTTTCTTCTCCAGCAAGATGAAGTCACTCTCCGAACTCAACGATGAAATTGTTCGCAGCATGACAGTTGGAGCCGTGTTCACTGATTTTGTGAGTACAGTGCATTGACCTCGCGTGTTTTCATCCTGTGGCATGTCATTATTCTGTTCTCAGAACTATCAAACTTTGATGTTTATAAATTTACTTCCTACTCAGATTGAGAAATTTAGCTTTTTGTTGTGTTAATTTTCATGCATTTCGATTGTTGGATCCTTATTTCACCTCCTTTGCGCAGGGTGGAAAGATAAGTTCACTCGATTTTCATAGGACTGCTGATTTATTGATAACTGCAAGCGAAGATGATTCTGTTAGACTTTTTGACACTGCAAATGCTCAGTAAGTGTAGGATGTCTATCACACATCACGCCCTTTAGACTAGTACACTTACTACAGTATGTCTGTCGCACATCATGATCACCAGAAGACACTGAAGAACCCCGTCCCTGGGCTAAGATTACTTCTAAATTTCTAATCAGCTAAGTTGCTCCATTAAGGGTTTGATGATTTTTTAGGCTGTTGAAGACCACATATCATAAGCAGCATGGTGCTGATCGAGTCTGCTTCACCCATCACCCTAGTTCTGTTATATGCTCTTCAAGACACAATTTGGCTACCCATGGAGGTATTCAATTAGAAGATAACTTTTATTTGTGTGTTTATACTCTATAGAGATGACCCCTGACATGTCCTACTACAAACCTGCTGCCAGAATCATTGCGATACCTTTCTATGTATGATAATCGATGCCTTCGTTACTTCAATGGACATAAAGAGAGGTAGGCAGTTCCATCCACAATTTCCATTTCGTAGTGTATCCCAAACATTTTATGATGATGGGACAGCAGTATTGTGATGTTCAGTATCACTTTCCTTTCGATTGGAGTGAAATGATGATCTCCTTTCGATTAGAGTGAAAAGATGAGCCAACACAGTTACACAGCTCAATAATACGGAGTATCATTTTTACGAGGAAACGAAAATAATAGATTAGTTTATTTCTTTTTCATCTTATTCTCACAATCTCACCCACTTTGTGTAAATATTGTGTTGCTTCACAAGCTAATCTATTTGAGTTGGAGACAGGGTTGTGTCATTATGCATGTCTCCTATGAATGATAGCTTCATGTCTGGCTCTCTTGATCATAGTGTCCGAATGTGGGATCTTCGCGTGAACGCATGCCAGGTTTGTTTGAGCTTTTTATAATCTGCATCTATTCTCAACACAATATATCTGTGTTTTAACTTTTAACTTATTTTAAAACACTATCCAGTTACACATACCCTTTAGATGGTCATCAAGCTAGTCTTCTTTATAAAATTTGGAAAACATTTTCATATATACATCACGATGTAAGGGGCTTACATAATATACATATGCTGATCAAGGTGCAAGGGCATGAAAAACTGGGCCTGTGCTTAGCACATAATTAAGTTGCTAAACGTAAAACTTATGCATCATATATTTGTCTGAGAGTGTGTATGCATGTGTGTCTGGAGGTTGGGGGATAGCCTAAGTCCTGTTTTATTTGAAACTGATCCAAATTTGACTTCTGAAATACTGAATAGCATTGCAAAGTATTCTAAACATCATGTCTTATCTAAGAAGTTAAAATAAAACATCAAGAGAGGCTACTAGTTTATCAAGCTTCAACCCATTATCTGAAAGGAGAAAAGATTGAGATGGGATCATTGACAAAAACCTTACACCACTTGACTAGTATACCCAAGTATATGTAGCAACTACCTGGAACATATTCTCTATCACTGTGTCCTAGAGCAGTCTTAGCCTTTCAATGCATGTATCTAAAAGCTATCCTGAATATAATGATGCCCAGTTTGATAGATGCTTATAACTTCAGTTTTCAGGGGATTATGCACCTACGAGGCAGACCAACTGTTGCATATGATCATCAAGGTCTTGTATTTGCAGTAGCAATGGAAGGTGGTGCTATTAAATTGTTTGATTCTAGATCATATGACAAGGTTTGGGTCTCCTGTTGTGTTGCTTACTTCTTCTGAACAATCTATTTGTTGAAAAGTGATCATCCAATCTTACTAATTATTGTAGGGTCCTTTCGATACATTCCTTGTTGGTGGAGATACTGCTGAGGTGTGTGATATAAAATTTAGCAACGACGGTAAATCGATGCTTTTGACAACTACAAGCAATAGCATTTATATCCTTGATGCTTATTGTGGAGAAAAGGTTACATTTTCCTCATAGATTTCTACATTCTTGTTAATGATTCTTTTGTCTTTTCCTTTTTAAGTAATATAGCCAAAACTTGTTTTTCTATGTAGAAAGGTGGATTCAATTTGGAACCCTCCCCAAACACCACAATAGAAGCAACCTTTACTCCTGATGGACAATACCTTTTGTCAGGTACTGCATTTGGATTCAGCTTTAAATAAGAGACTGCATATGATGCACTGTTACCTACATATATTGCTTGTTGGCTGTTGCTTTAGTCAATGTGATACTCCTATATTTGCTGCACTGGATAATTGGATATTCTTTTAAACAAATGAAGACTTCAATACCAATCTCCATTTTCTAAGTTTTGGACAAGAGTGAATAGTGCGATTATCAAGAAAAGTGGAATTGCGTGGTCGATGTTAAATTGTTAAAGTATGAATAAAGCAAGAATGGATTACAATCTCATAAATATTAAAAAGCATGGCACGAGACAAACTTAGTGGAACCTACGAGAAAAGGTAAAATGGGATGAAGATAGAGGGATAGAGGGCGTAATGTTGTATCGATGTGCCCGTGTACAGTATTTGTGCAACCATGGGTTATAGTTCATGGGTTTATGTAGTCATTGAACTCTTATTGCTAATTTTCTGGGAATTCGGCTAATTCCCCAGTACAGGCATCATCATTTGTGTATTTATATTATACATTTATACCAAGTGGTTTGGTTCAAAATGTTGAGTAACATTCGTGCAATTTATATTGCATACATCTTGTTGAGCAAGGAAAAGTCAAGCTCAAGCAGAGGGACATGGAGAAGGGATTTGATCTCAATATTAATTTTTCATTTCTTGTCGGAACGATCGAGGAAAAGGATGTTGAATTAACATTTATTTATGCACATTTAACTCTAATAAAACCTTCAAAGATCGATCAATCGTTTTGAATATGGTAGTGATTAAACGTGAATCATGTGATGATGTAGGCTCAGGGGATGGAAACTTACATGCTTGGAACATTGATAAACTTAACAAGGTAAGCGTCCTTTCCGGTCATGGACTGCAAACCTGTGGGTACATTATTATTACATAGCTGTTGGTGTACTGCATTTATTCTCTTGATGACTTCTTTGTGGTATGGCAATGCATTTGACACTGACCCTATATGCATGCCTGTGTTTTCAATAGGTGGCTTCATGGGATAGCTATGTGGGGATTGCATCTTGTGTTAAATGGGCTCCAAGAAGAGTAATGTTTGCAGCTGCATCTTCCGTTCTGACCTTTTGGATACCTTCTGGCAATTCAATGCCTTTTGCTGCTCCTCCTCCGGGCAATAATGTCTCTTCCTAAATTTGTCATTCAATTAACTGCAACACTCTTGTTTCCCTTCCATGGCTGGGTAGAAAGGCCAATACCGTCTCTCTTGTTTTATTTTGCTAGGACGTTTTTTTAATTAAAAATGTAAAAATCCCCTAGCAAATGTGTGTATTTCAATCTAGTTAGTCTTAGAGACCCACTGGTAGTGGTGACGAAATGCAGTATCCGGTTTGTAATTGCAATTAATCATTATGGAAATCCACATTAGGCATTTTATTTAAAAAAATTGCTATGCTTTTTATTATTTGTTCCAGGTTCTTTTGTTTCTTATTATTTGCTCGGAATTACTTAGGGGTGGACTCGGGCCGGTTCGGGCCCGACCGGGCCTCGGTTCTGTTTTGTTGGGCCCGAGCCCGAACCGTTAGCCACCGGTTCCGGGCCTGGTCGGGCCACCCGGTTTGTAATTTTTTTTGCTTCTCCTATTTAACCCCCAACTCACCCCTCACCCCAAACCACCTCAAATGGTCCAAAATACCCAGCCCAACCCAAAAACTTAAAAAAAATTAAAAAAAAAAAAAAATTAAATTCGGCCCGGACCGGGCCCGAACCGGCCGGGCCAGTTCACCAAATGGAGGGCCCGAGCCCGGAACTGAACCCCACCGGGCCGGGTCGACCCGAACCGCCCCTGGGCCGGGCCACCGGTTTGGTCCGGTTCAAACAGTGACCGGGCCGGATCCGGGTCGGACCGCCCTGGCCCGAGTCCACCCCTAGAATTACTCTTTTGTATGTTAAACAATTTTATTATTTTCTTCATTCATCTGTTAAACAATTTTATGATTTTTATCTTACCGTATCTAGAGTCTACTTCTCCGTTTGCTATTTGTCATCTAGTCACTCCTACATTTTTCTTTTACATTTTCAGTGCTTTTATATGAACACCATTTATTCAGGTATTCTGTTTTTACTAAGTGATAACATGAATCTGCAATTATACATGGTGGCAGGCAGGGGAACCATCTAAGCCAAGACAAATCAAGTATTCGAAATCAGAACAATCTAAGTAATAAAACCATAATTACCCCAAAAAAAAGTAATAAAACCATAATTAAAGCAGCTGGGACACAATTTTATTTCCAAAGTCTAATTAAGTCTACCCCCCTCCCCCCCCCCCTCCCGCTCCGGGACTCATCATATTAGGCCTTGTTTTGAATTGTCTGACCAACATCTTGAGTCTTCTGTCCGACTTGAACCATAGCATTCTGCATGACCTTCTTTGCATAGTCCATCTTCTCAGCTGGCATTATGGACGACCTCCCTTGGCTGAAGTAGTTGATGAGGCGCCAGAGAGACGGTAATCCAGTGATCCCGAAAGCTCCCGAAGTGAGAACTCCGGTGACGGCGAGGCCGATCACCATGGTTGCCGGCACCAGAACTGGGCTGAAGAGGAGATAAACCGGCAAGCTGAGACCGAGCCCAATCATGGAGATCAGGAAGGAGATGCCGGCCAAGCCGAGGAAGATGGTTCCAATCGGGATGAGGGCTACGATGGCTAGGACTTGGCCAGTGGACGGACCATTTTCAGGGAGGAGGTTCAGGTTCTTGCCGGTATCCCGGCCGTACTGTTGGTTCTGGCGCGGTGCTTGAGAATAACGGGAATCCATGATGATATATATCAAAGGAATGATAAATGTTTGAGATAAGGATAGAGAGCTCTGACGAGTTACGGAAGAGTATATAAATGAAATTAAGTGAGAGTAAAGGAAAGCTCAGTTCGCAACGTGTTGCCAAATGGGAATGCATGGAGCAAAGGCTTTGCATGAGAGCCATGTAGCACACTTCATTTTTTTCTGTTAAAATTTTAACATATTTAATTTGTTTCATATTCAAACAAGGTACTAGAATAATGTTGATATAAATGTATTTTGTTTGAGCAACTCAATGCGCTATTATGTTAATGAGTTGTTAACTTGATCAACTAGCGTAATAAATTGGCAAGTTTGCAAAACATATTTGGTAATTTAACATTCTAGCCATAAGAGCATCTTCAATGGTACAATATGCACGGTGCACACGTGACATGAGAGATGACCACATAAATATTAGTAAATAAATTATTTCTCTCCTTATTTAAATGATTTTATAGAGTTTTGGTAAGTTTTTCTCCACAATGTCAAGGAGACCGTCTAATGTTGACATTGTTGTTGACATTGCAGGGAAAAACTTACCAAAATTGTATAAAATCATTCAAATAAGGAGAGAAATAATTTATTTGCTAATAATTATGTGGCTATCACTCATGCCACATGTGCACCGTGAACATTATAGCATTGGAGATGCTCTAACAATCAGTAGAAAATGAACTATTTCAAAACACTAATAAAAAACACTTCGAATTACAACGTTTCCATCCAAAAATGCTAGGAACACACAACTATTTACCTAAAACATTTTCACTTATTCAAAACATCAAAGAAAACCAACCCGCTAATGTTTAGGTTAGTATTAAGCAGTGTTTGCTAAAGCTTATTTTAAGCACTTTTGAGCTTTTAGATTAAAAAAAGCTGTAGAAGTGCTTATTTCTAATTAAAATAAGCACTTCTAATTAAAAGTGCTTATTTTAAGCACTTTTGAGCTTTTAGATTAAAAAAAGCTGTAAAAGGTGTTTGGTAATGACTTTTAAGTTAAAAAATAGAAGCTGGGTGTAGGCTGCTTTTAATAGCTTCTAGGCTCTTTTGTAAATATCAACAACTTTTGAGGGTAATCTTTAACCTAATTTACCTAGCCTTGTCCAACTCTACCCGTTTAATTCCCAACCTACTTCTCCATCGTCTTCCTCGCTCCAAATCTTGCAGTCACAAACAAGTTCTCTACTCTTGTCTCAATTATTGCAGCGGCCATGCAATCTTCACAGGCAAATCCAATTTGTTGATGAAATTTGGCAAACACAACCCCGTCCCCATGGTCACACCTCTTTTACACACACACAAAGATGTGGTACATCTTGAAAGCTCCAATACGTCTTCATATATACGAAGTATATATAAAGGACAAATAGCTTAAGTAATTTAATTAGGATTAATGCTCCAGTACATCTTGAAAGTAAATTAAGAGGGACTAAAGCAAAAGAGACGACACATACATACACGAAACAAAAATTGTCATTGTTGACCATCGATAGGCATACATATATGTGACCTGCAACATTAATCGATGTGTCTGAACAATGGGAGATTCAAAATCGGAAGATGTATGCAGACTCTTGAGGCTTGCTAATATATGCACCATATGATTTATATGTGGTTGAGGGCATTTTTGTATTTTCATCCAAATGTTATATCACAATCACTTTTTTATCAAACACTCCAACTTATATCTTTTAATTAAAATCACTTCTCTTTACAAACACTATCCACTTTTACTACAAATCACTTTTCCCATAATCACTTAAATAAATCACTTTTAAAAAGCACAAGTAAACACAAACACTCCCTTAGTTTAGTAATTAAACTCGATCTCGTTGACTTCAAAACTTCGTCAATTTTGTCCATCTTCATTTTTATCTCGGGTACCCTTTTTATCTCCTATGCGGTCTCCACCTAATTTAATCACATAAACTTTCTTATTTCACCTCAAATCAAGTCTTACAACTTTTGTGATGGCCGGAAGGAGTATATTTTAGAAACTCCTTATTTAACTTTCTTATTTTAGAAACTTTTGTATTAGTACATTTAACTTTCTTATTTAATTTTAGTCTGGTAATTTTTTTGTCTCTGTGTATTATAACCGTTGAAGTCTTGTCTGATCTATTTAAGTCTGATATGAAGTAGTTTGGCTTGTTGAAATCTAGTCTGATTTATTATGATTTGAGCTGATATGGGACTGAAATAAGTCCAAGTAAAAACATCCTTAGGTTGGTCTAATCTATTTAAGTTTAATGTGGCGTGGTTTGGTCTATTTAAATCTGATCTTGTTTGTTTTGGCCCAGTCTTATCTAGTCTGATTTGAGAGACTGAGACTGAAATAAGTTCAAGTAAAAACATCTTTAGCATTCTACATTGAGAGAAATATTTTTAGAAGCATCGATAATGAAAAGTCATTTTTAAATATGAAAAATGATGAGTGATGACTTGATTTACCGAAATTGCACTAATGAGCTATTTATTATTCGTATGCAATTAACTACATAATTTATGTTGATGACTTACTTTTTAACGTTTTTATTACATTTGAAGTTGTTATACATCAAGTTTAGTGTTCAGTCCTAATCTCACTTACATCTTGGTCCGCCATTGGTTTTGCCACTCGATTTTATTGCTAAACAAAGTTGTAACAAGGTAACTTTTCACGCACTCTATCGATCTCCTTGATTTGGTAGTGGTAATAGGAATACATTATAGTCGTATTGAATTGGTGTTTCTTCATTAAAGTAAGCAACACAGAAAATGAGAAATTGGATTCTACAATTACTAATCGTGCTTCTTCCTTCATATTTGTATACGTAGTATTTTCTAATAAAATGTGATATTTTCATACAATGGTCATACTTTTGTCAATTGTATTATCTATCGTATCATCTTGATTACTTGATACTCAAGGTTAAAAATATGTAATGAGACAAAGTGATTATCTCATTTGACTAAAGAAAATACAAAATGAAATTATTTTTCACTTGAGGATTTCGGCGCAAGACGTCAAGAAGAGTGTGTTTCCATTGAAAGTAATCCCACAAAAAAAACACCCTTGAAAATTAAAAAGTGAAAAGGGAGAGTGGGTATTACCTGGAATTCTATGTGAAGGGGCAAACTGGCAAGAAAAACCGTTCTACTCATCTACCTAATTCGAACCAAATGTTCAATTAATAGTAAGGTAAAAAAAAAAGACTCGTAAAGTCATAACCAATTAGATAGCCATTTCGATCCGAGTTACTTTAGTCTAAATGATTTCAGTAGTTCACGAGTATAATATGAAATCCACATGCAGTGAAACAACTCTATTTATAGAAATGAAAACACACTTTTGAACCCCATGAAGGAGTTCACTTCCTTGTTGTCACCCACCACTGCTGATGAAGAGCACGGCCTTTCCAATAAACATTGAGAAGGGAGATTCTTCCCTTTCATTTCTGAAGAGTTTCTCAACTCACCAATTCCCTTTTTCGGCAAAGGTGATGATGGCACCTCATCAGCTGCTCTGTATCCCGACAAGGTTCTTAACATCACCGGAGGCTGATCATCACCATTCCTCACCTTTGTGCCCCCTTTAGATTCATGTTGCTTTCTCTCCAGAGGTTCAGGGTCCAAATCAACAATACTATCTGTCACGCCTCTTGTTGCGCCTGTAAAACCCTCAAAATCAGAACAGCTGCCTTGTTCACACCGAGTGTTGAAGCAGTTCTTTTGATTGGCCAAATTATATTCCATGGATTCAGTGGCCTCCCACGTTGGTGAATCTTGCACGTGTGTGAATACTGGTTGAACAGAATCGGGTTCATATAAAAGTTTCCCTGGAATAGATAGATAACTTATGTCTTCAGCTCTCTACAATCATAAGGAGTTTTCCTATAATGCGACTTAAACATGGCCAATGAACAACAATATGACTACATGGTCATTATAGTCACTGTGAAAATGCCACCGGACACTGTCATAGGGAAATGGTGCATCACTGTCCCTTATTATAGTCAGAGGCAAAATATCAAAATAGGCACTGCGCCGAAAGTCACTTTTTTGTCTGTTAATCTATTATATTTATTTTATGATATGTCAGTCATTATTTCTAATTAATAAACAAAATGATGCGAACTGGAAGATGACAGAAGAAACTTTACCCGTGTAATTTGTAGGACTGATGGTGTCCTTAGAGAAATTATGATTTTCTGAAGTTAGTAGATCTTTGTCTGAGAACTTCATTTCCTGTTGATGAGCTCTAGCAGATTGAAGGGCCATGCTGTAACGTGAAACTTTGCTTGTTCCTTCATCTAATACTTCTATTGGAGCATCAATTGAAATCAGTCTCTCACGAGTTCGTTTTCTAATAAGAGCCAAGTTTGTCTCTAATGCAGTATCACCCAAAATGACCGGTGCAGGTAAGTTTTTCGCCTTTTCACGTATGTGATCAAATATGTTCTTTTCAGAGATGATCTTGCATTCATCGTCTTCATCAGTTCCAACTTCATTGCAAGATGGATTTTAATTAAAAGAATCATTAATTAGATGGATCTGAGGGCAATAAAATGTGCATAGGGCAGGAATTTACTCTCTACCTTCCTCTGAGTCGTCATCTATAAGATTGAAACTTGGCCTGGTTTCGTGAAAATGGATGTTAGTCGCTGATAAATCACATTTACAACTTGAAGGGACCAAAGGCTGGGAGTATGTAATTTTTTATCTGCTACGAATATTTGTAAAACTAGATTCTTTTATGAGAGTCAGAAAGATCTGAGAGTCAGAAAGATCAGGTCTTACATGTCTATAACACCTTCAGTTTCATCGTCTAGAACTAGGATGCCTGCATCCTTCGGTTTACAGGAGGGGGGCTGCCTTGGTTTCAGTTTATTAATAATACTATCACCTATATCCTTCATCAATGTTACGCTTTGATGGACATCAACACCAACTGTATGGACAATTAACAATGAAATGTTTCAGAAGAATGTCAAATAACATCTATATATCAAAACTTGCAACTTATCATCTAGATGTGAGGGAGGTTACTGAATTCGTCAAATATCAGATCTGCTTTCACAGTGAGCTTCCCTTTCTGAGGGTCAGGCACTATAACCGTTGCACTATATGGGCTATTAAAGAAATGTAACAATGAGCTTATGAATTTTGTGGCAGCAAAGGTGAAGAGTTATCATGGGTTGACCAAAGCATCTGTGTTATTACCTTGGAAAGTCATCCACTCTGCAGCAGGAAAAGAAAAAGTATCTAAATTGTGTAAATTTACAGTACACATGCATTTGATTACATTGTATTACATTAAACCACACCTAAAATAATATTTGATTACATTACCTTACATGCTATTATGGCCTACTAAACTACACCTACATGTCAAACTCAAAAGTCACACACAAAAACTGGAGACAAATTTAAACAGTTACATTTTGAGTGTGTAACGTAAAAGCAAAAGGTATGCTTGATTACTCATTGTTTCTAAGAGTCTTCTTAAAGGGAGAATCAGGTTAACACTTCCATCATTACTCTTTCTTTCCTTATGATAGGTATCAGATTTGAATGCTCGAGGTAAACAGTACTAATCAGGTTAACTCTTTCTTTCTCTTTTTCTCGAGTGCTCATTGTTTCCGAGAGAGTTCTCTTAAAGAAAGAATCAGGTTAACACTTCCGTCATTACTCTTTCTTCCTTATACGGAGTAATAGGTATCAGGTTTGAATTCTCAAGGTAAAACAGCACTAATGTAACCCATACTTTTATTTTTCCTTTCAAGAGACTTGAATAATCAAAAGTTTACGTTACATGTATCAAAAAGGTATTACTGGAAATCAGTTCTACACTACCTTATCTTTTCATGAAATAGAATCAGGTTATCTTCTTCCATAGAAATTATCTGTGAGATAAATTCCAATAAAAAACTGACATTTAAAACTATGCAGAAGATTATAATCTCAAGTTAAAATATCACATAAGAACTTAAGAAGCATATGAGACTACCAGATCAGCATAGTGTCTTTTATTCATTTGTGCAGGTTGAGAAATCCTCGTCAAAGTCACGACTACCTTTGACTTACCTCGCCTCTGACTCTCAGTTTCCTCTACTTTCAACTCTATTTTTGGTGGAAGTGATAATAATGCTCCTTTTATATGGTTTCCAAATGGATATTTACGACCACTCACTATCTCAATCTTTCTTGGATCAGCATCAGCAAGAGCCTCAAAAGATTTCACCCCCATCGAGTTCAGTGCCTGACGAGTGATTTGAATTTTGCATAATTAGTATAAGCTAAGTCATTATCCAATGGAAACAAAAAGCACTGCAAACTGTGGTATAAGCTGCACACCTTTGCCGTCACCATTCCAATGCCAGGTAATTGCTTCAGCAAGAATGGACTGTTGTCCCACACTTTTTGATGCAAAGATTTGGCAAGAAGTGCTGAACTCAGAGCTCCAATGTAGTTTTTCTTGTAAACAAAGTACTCTTTCATGCACTTTGAAATTCTGCTTCCATTTGTGCATATAGAATTGGTGTCCTACAACAAAGCGCACATTGTCTGTAAGTTAAAGGTTTAATGTCAACTGAACAATATGTTAGATGTCCTTTGAAGAAACAAAACCTGGGTCATTGACAACTCGTGAACTAAAGGATCTCCAGTAAGGCAGTCATTAGCTAAAATAAATATCTTCTCTTCCTTAGTTTGGATCCGCTTTTTCTTCTTCTTGTTATCACCGAGTATGTGAAACCGTAGCCTGTTATCTTTGTCATTGTTTATATCATTCAGAAGTTTTTTTTCATTGCGCCTGAGTTGTATCCCTTCATTTCACATGAAAAAGAGTTTCTATTAGTCACACAATAACCACCCAATGATAAGTTATATGAAATGTTTGTAATACAAGAAATCTCCTCAGCATGGCAAATAATTTGAAGCACATCTTCTATGCTACAGTTTGCAGGTGCCTGCATAATGTGTTTCATTGTCTCAAATTTTAGATAGTATTTTGTCATCAATTTTGCAGGCTCTGCAAGCAATAAAAAGAAAAAAATTAGACATCCTAGACACTAGTAACGCATGAGGTTGCATTTTGAGTTCATTACCAAGAGGCTTTAAGAGGAAACCGTCCTCATCAGTCCAGATCATTTGGTACCGTGTTAACTCATTGACCTTCTGAACACATATCTCTGGGAACAACCAAATAACCTCCATAAATAAGTAAGCATAAAAGGCACCTACAATTTGTACCATTTTAGCCAACAGATACCTTGCAGATGCCTTTCTACATGCTCACTGGCTAGTTGTTTCTTTATTGCATAATTCTCAGGGTTCTGGTTTTCAAATTTATAAAGCATCAATAATCCAATTAGCTACTAGCAAACTGGTCGTCCATGCTATGAGCAGAAGAACATGCCTTTTTCATTCTCACAAACAAATATGAGCATTTCATCCATTTGATTGCTTTGGTAATATCTGAAACTGTCAGTTGAACAATCTCTGCGGTCAAGTGCTCAGTAATGCATTGAAGCAGTCTAAACACAACAAAAAGGAGCATTAAAACTTCATAGTATCCCCTATCAGCTAAACATTGAAGGTGAGGAACCATGCAGGGATATTAAAAATTACATACTGTGATTCCACCATTTCACATCCACTTAGCAGGTTCTCATATAAGTGTACCTAGAATATTAGTAAAAACTACACCATGAAATACAAAATTGAGAAAACAACTAGTGCATATTAGAGATATTTGATTGCACCAAATTAGCAAAAACAACATGTTGGAACTCACAGTTTCTTTTCTGGTCATTATTATAACCAGTCCTGCATCATCAAATTGTGGACGGCCTGCTCTTCCACACATCTGCAATGGGGGGAAAACATATCCTTGGGATTAGAAGCCCCTAAAAGCATGTTCTCATGCAAGAAAATTAGGCTTAACATGTACAGAAATAAAGAACATTCATGATAAGCATGTTGAGGCTTACTGATGCTAGCAATTCATGGATTAGTTCTAGGATTCATATCAGTTGAATACCTGCAGGATCATAGATCTGTCATATTCCATGTAAAGACGCTTCTCCTGGTTGCTGCCAAGAACAAATAGCGTCGTTAGGAGAAAATCGAGGATTAAAAAATGTGACAGATATAAAGAGTATATTTGACACGTACAAGTATTGTGTTGACTTTATTATAACTGTATATGCCGGCAGGTTAATTCCTTGGGCAAGAGTATTTGTGGTGCACAGAACTTGCAGATCACCGCTCAGAAAGAGACCTTCAATAAGATTTCGATCCTTCATTGAAAGCCCACCATTGTGGTATCCAACTGCATAGTATGTATAATATCACTTACATATCTCTCAAGACTCAAATAAAGAATAACAAAATATGCACAACCAGAGCATGCTTGTGGTTTGACCAACAAAAAAAAGCTAGTAGTTTGTACCACCATATGGAATATAAGATTGCATTTGTTTATCACCACATGACAGTGAAGCTTCTCTCAGTCTGTCTTGATGCTCTCTGTTTTTTATGAAAGGATTTGAATGACCAAATGTCATAGCTGTTTGTGTGATCCGTTGGGCAGTCTCTTGTGCTCCTTTCCGTGTTGAGCAGAATACCAGTGCAGACTTGCCTCTTGAATGTAGCATGAGGATATCTGCAGTACATTTCCTTTGTTTTGATAACAACTAATAAAGAATGGAGACAAACTAACACTTAGATGTCAAAAGTGATTTAAAAAAAAAAGAGGTAGGTTTTCAGGCTTACCAAATATGTAGTTCTGAAGGCGCTGGAGAATTAAAAGTGCAATATGATCAGTGAACCAGAAAGGGGAATGAAACGGGCAGTTAACAGACATATTGAGTCAAATGGAAAATGTTTACAAGCACAAACCTTTTCAAATAGAAAGTCATTCTTCGCAGGAGTGTAGCCTAGAAAAAGAAAGTAAGAATCAATTTTCAAAGAAATCCAGTGCTAACCTCATTAAAAGAAAGAAAGCCCACTCAATCTCTGTATATACCTAAAACTTTGGTTGTCAATTTTACTGGTCTCATTTCTTCACCAAACCTGCAAAGTAATGTACAGCTCGTATCAACAATTAGCTCATGTCTTCAATATGAAAATTAAAAACAAATAAACCCATCATGTGATACATGTTACTTTACTTTTTAATTCCTTGGTTAGGAACCATAAGCCACTCCGCTGCACAACACATAAGTGATTCTTTCATTAACTATCACTAAATTCAATCAAATTTCGCATCACAATCAGAGTAACAGACTAATAGAAATAGCAGTATTATTAAAAGTTATAGTTACCGATGTCATTTATATTCGGTATTGTAGCCGAGACAGCTAGAATACGAACATGAGCTAGAGGAGTGTTTTTCATTTCGGGACTGGAAGAGAGCATTTTGATTCGGCTAACGACAGCCTCCAAAGCTGCTCCACGAGGATCACTCAACAGATGAACTTCATCAATAATTACCAGTGCAATGTCACTGAAAAAGCTCAGGCCTCCATCTTTAATGCGATATCGAGTCACAGCATCAAACTTCTGGAGATATCACAATGTGCGCATCGATGAGTACAGAACATGATAGTCATGAAGTAACCAAAAGCATAGAAGATAAAAGAAGTGCCGTCAGCCTTACACCTCTGGAGTAGTAAGAATTATGTCAGCATCCACAATATCCTTATTGTTGTAGTACTCATTATCCCCTGTCAGCTCCAGACAAATGATTCCCCATGAACCAAACTTTTGGGTCCAATCCCTAAGTTTCTCTTGTACCAGAGCTTTAGAAGGTGCCACATAGATCTTTACAACACAAGAAAGAAGACAAAAAACTTGAGGCTATTGGAAGATATGCAACAGCTAGACAAGCATGATGTTTTGAGGAAAAGGGAGTGTACTAAAACTGATAACTGCAGTAAAGTGTGTTCCTAAACCAGGCTGAGAACTTGAAGCACCATTAAGTTGAATCCAAGTAGTAATTGGGGTGGAAATAAGTGGTGTTCTGCGTAGTAAGAATTTAAAAACAGAAGACCTCGAATTGAGTGTATTTATGTAACATACCGTCTTCAGAGATCCCTTGGCGTGTGCAAAGACACCCTCACTGGATATGAACCTTGAGAGAAGCCTCAAAATGCATAGCTCAAAAAGCACTGTTTTCCCACTTCCAGTAGGTGCCGAAATAACCATGTTCACGTCCGAAAGGTAACAAGTAGGAAAGCATTCACTCTGCAATGAGTTAAAATATCTGCGCGAGCAAGGGAATGATATAACATACAGAGTATTTTAATTTTTAAAATTGCTTTTTGCTAGGAAAAAAACAACATTAGCCCAACAGTCCCTTGTTTGGTTTGCGGATTCAGAAGCGAAGAGAATGGGTGTATTTATTTAAATACTGCTGTATTTTATCCTCAACTTTAGAATGGTGGGAAAGAAAGTGAGTGAATGAAAAATTCTATAGAAATATACGTAGTAAGATTTGATTAAAGATCTAATCATGCTTCGTAGTTACTCCGTATTTTCTAGTCGATTTTAACATACAAATAGAGATACCAGATAATGACAAAATACCAAAGTGATCTTCCATTGGCGCCACCTGAGAAGGAGGTTGTTACTGACCAGCGCCTCAAACGAGGGCAACTGTTATTGTATCAGAATAGTCGATAGGTCAGTGTCATACTCGGTGCTATCACCTACAGTGGATGCTAATGTCCGTTGATGGTAGGAGAGATAGTGCCCGATACATACTAACACTATAACAGCGACTGACAACTGCTACCGCTCAAACTTCTTAGTAAATAATTACTAGTGTAGACAGTGCTTGTACATATTTTGGCATCAAATACGCACAGATGACTGAGCAGAAATCGGCGCCAAATACACATAGATTGACTCGTATTCACAACTTTCCTACTTGCCATGCTCCTAGATGTACTCGTAGAAGTCAACTGAATTAAAAATAAACGTTCTGAAAAGAGAAACGGCAGGAAACACACACATATACACGATGGATGGGACGATTCGATATACCTGAAACTGAAAGCTGAGCGGAACAGAGCAGGCAAGTCCAGCACGGACTTCAACGAATGAGCATCCATTAGTCAAAACTCAAAACAACAGATGTTCCCCCAATCGGCCTTTATTCACGCTACAATACAAGTAGAACAATGAACCCGACTGAATGTAGACATGACATTATAAGTCTGTTATACAGGTACTGAAAGTCTGAAACCAGTAGAACATACCAATGCGAGCAAGCAGCTGAATCACAGGCGGTAGTTAAGATGTCAGGATATCTGAGCTTTAGCGGCTGAAGTCACGACGGAAAAATCAACTCCGGAGATAGTGTTCCGGTAAAGAGGAGAAGACTCAAAAGAGGATTATGCCGGCGGTGGGGATTGGAGAAAGTGCTGAAGAGGAGAGAGCAATTGGAGGGAAAGTTTGTTGGATTTCAAAATATTGCACATTCAGACATTCTCACATCGCTGCTACATTTAAACGGTTAAAGATAATCAGTCCCGGTTCGCACCTTTGTTTGGCGGGCAAATATGCGCAAATTATACGGGAATATGCAGTAAATTTGTCATTATTTCAAAGTTGAATGAGATTAAAGGTAATAGTCGAATTAAGAATTAAAATAAGTTACACAGTACTGTATCAGTTAAATTAATACGGAGTATTAGTCAAATAGTAATGATTAAAAAAATAAAAACAATCAAATCCATGGTGGAGTAGAGGTTTTATTTTTGCCATTTTCCTTCTTTCATTGTTAAAACTATTGATAATAAAGTGACTGAACTTATTGTTTGTGTCGTTAAAAAAATTTCATACACAAAGCATCGGTTTTTGTGTCTTTCTTTTTGCAGAAATGACAATGTTTGTGACATAGAAATCAATGTTCGTGACACAGAAACCAATGACACATAAACCTATGTTTGTGACACAAAAATCGATGTTTGTGCACGGACATTAGTTGTCTGTGCTGGACAAAAAATGCATAACTATAAATATTTTCATCTTTTTCAATGGAGTCAAAGACTCAATATTTTTGGCTTGGAAATATGATGGAATAAAACAAAATGACTCACTAAACTGTCTGTGATTCCTTTTTATGAAGTAACAGTTAATCTATGCAATTTTCAACATAATCTGCACTATGGGTCATTCGGAAACAGTCTCCGTGTACTTTAATACAAAATGCGTGCATAGTCCAACGTGAAAAACTTTGTGACACTGAAGAAATGATGATGATCATAGTCAAATAATGCTAGCACACAAAACATCAGTTTTTGTGTCACAAACTGCACATGCAATTTTCATTTACAAATTTTCCATTTTATTTGTACACAGTACTACACACATAGAAATTGTATCATCTCCGATTTGTTTTCTCATTACTTTTAATTATAAATGTTATGGACGAATCCCTATGATTGTTCATTTCCATTTTGGGTTTCCGGCTATCATCTGTCTCTGGCGAATCTAAAACTGAAAGATGAAATGAAAACATGAAAAATAATGAAGATGAAGATGGCGAAGGGATTATTAAAGATGAAAATGGAAGGTGGGGGAAATGAAAGTGATGGAATGAAAAAAGAAAGACGAGTGATGAGGGAAAGGAGGAACTATTGGGAGAAAGAGGAGGTGGGAAGTTAAGGGTGGAGTGAAGAGGGTAAAATGTAAAACTATACGGTATGTAAATGATGTGTACAAAGTCTGAGCAAAATATAGCAACTCATAAGCATATATCTGGCATCTAGTGAGCAATTATTCACAAAACAACAGAAACATGGCAGCAGGCGGGTACATACATAGAGATTCAGAGGGAGCTCACATAACCGCAGAAACAAGGAGTTTCTCGAGCTGCAGTGAAGGGCACAAAGAGATTGAGAGGGAGCTCACAGCGCCATGGCTACCGACTTCAAATCTATTCCTATTATTGGTGAGAACTCAGAACTCTCGTTCTTTTTTAGAAAATTCATTTACTCTATCCAGCTGTTCTTGGCTTAATTTCAACAGTCTCTTTCTTCTCAGTGACGTAAATTGTGATGGTTAGACACTGAATATTGTCCCATGACTCCTAGCTAATCAGCATCGTTTTGATTAATCAATTAATTATTTATCTTAATTTTATTGGAACACTTATTAAAGGGCCGGAAAAAGAGACATACTTTTGATCTTAAATTGAGAGACCATGGAGTCAGTAGCCCTTGTTTACTTCGAAAGGGTATATCTTTCCAAGTGGAAAGCATTTGATTTGAGCTTTTTTGTAATTAAAGGGTAAACATAAGTTAAGAAATCAGACTATTCATTCGAAATACTTGGATTTGGGGGAGTGAGTTTGGGAAGTTCACATGACAACTCTACTTTCCCCCCTGCATCCCCAACAAATAACACACCAATCCTCCATTTGATCCTCTTTGCTCTGAAGTATTCCAATTAGACTAAGGGATATAAGTTCGTTTTTGGCTCAGAGGGTCATGATGAGTGATCTCGGTCTCACGTTTCAAGTAAAATTCTATATAAAAATTTATACTACAAGTCTACAACTCTATAAGGTTTTAAGGTGTTTGTTGTATTGTTTTAGGAGTGATTTTATTAAACCAATCACGTTATAAAAAACTAATATCAAGAAGCAGTAAATTGTACGGAGTAATTTTTAATTTGTGCGCATTTTGTGTATTTGTAAAGACTACCTTTTAACAAACTTACTTGTTTTCTACTTCATTTTACGTGGAACAAATGTCTTAACTTACTCATTTTTCAAGCAACTTAAAGTAGTATTTTATCAAACTGCTATCCAAATGCTCAACAAAAAGTTGCTTTGAATCATGTTTCCAATGCACATATTTTTAAAACTACAGAACATGAGTTCAGTTGGTTGAATGCTGTTTCAATTTAATTTTGATCTGCTAATAGTTGTTGTTTATTGTTTGTAATGCACTATTTCAATATGAGACAGATGTAAGCCCACTTTTGGACAAATGGGATCATCCAAACATTTCTCAAGATCAGGGTGCGGCTGAAGTAATTAAACAGTTAGATCAAGCTTGTAGAGAAGCTGGATTCTTTTATGTGGTAATTTTTCCTCCTGCTTTTATCTTGTTCCCCTTGTTGCGATATTATGGTGTACACTTATAGTTAATGTTTTTATAGTTTCTGCTTGGCAGAGCTTTCTAACACATGCATTATTAAGTTATAACAGAACTTTGAGCTCTGTTTGATGAAATATAAATGAGCTTAAGTTAAAGTTTTATTGTAAACTATATTTTAAAAGCTGCCCCTTATGGATATTAAAAAGCTTGGAATTTTATTAATTTATTCACACTAACTACCCTAGGGAAAACTGTCAAATAGGTCCTCGAACTTTCATGAAAAGGTCAATTAAGTCCTTCTATAGGAGGTTCTGTCCGGCCGTCGCGATTTGGGTCAGTTCTCGGTGGAATTTTTTGATGAAATTTTTTGAGCATCTTATTCACCAAGTCTAGTTTACGCATACCAAATTTCAGCTAACAATTCAATCGGGAACACATTCAAATTAATTCTTGAAGATAACTGCACATTTTTGCGTTCTCGAATTAATTTGAATGTGCTCCCGATTAAATTTTTAGCAGAAATTTGGTATGAGTAAACTAGACTTGATGATTAAGATGCTCAAAAAATTTCATCAAAAAATTCCACCGGGAACCGCCCCAAATTGCGACGACCGGACAAAGGCTCCTATAGAAGGACTTAATTGACATTTTTATGAAAGTTCGAGGACCTATTTGACAGTTTTCCCACTACCCTATTCACTGAGAAAAGCAACTTTATCTATCACTCATTCAAATTTTATTTCCTTTTTCAAATCCACAACTCATTTAACCCAACATTTTATATTTATTAACCATATTGCCTTAAATAGGAGTAAAAATATTTTGAAATTCTAAAATAGGAGTACTATGTTTACCCCCTAAATAAGAGTACTAATTTTACCCCCTAAATAGGAGTAATTATGATTGGAAAATGTTAGGAACCAGAGTAGAAGAGATGAATATTGAAGTAGAATTGATAACGGAAAAGAGAAAGATACAGTAGAGACTGTTCGAGTCATCTCAACACTCCCAGGCCTAATCCGAATCCAAATTCTGCCTACCTCTCTTTCCCCCTTCCTGCTCTTATTATACTCATCTCCTAAATGGGCCAGCCTTAGTTACTAAGTTACTGGGCCTTGAAATCACTTATTGTACAATATCAAATACTTTCTATTATTCTTATTACTAGTATTGTCTAGGTCCCTATCATCACTCCCCCCTTTGACAACCACCTTGTCCTCAAGGGTGGGAGGTAGGAAACAGCCCTGACCAACCGCTTCGTTCTCATCCTTGCGCCTCTTCCTTCCCAGTACCTCCCTGCTTGCTGCGCCATGAGCTTCAGTAGTGTCACTGCTAGTCCCCTAGATTGAGAGCCCTTGTCCTCCAACAATATTGCATGTCTCTCAGCTTTCAAACTATCCCTAGAAGGATGCTCCTCCCCAAACAACTCATACAAAACCTCATCTTCTACCAATTTGAACTCAGGATCCAAAACCTTTGCAGTTCCTTCTAATAGAGGTCGTATCACCAAGGAATAGTCGGGATGAAAAAAGAAGTTGAACTTGTACATAACCACAAATAACTGATTCATTATAAACTGGAAATCCTGGGATTGTCTTCTGCTATCACCAATTGATGTTTGCAGGGCACAACTGACTTTAAATTAGCTCCTTCAGGAATGAAACCGAGAGAGAGGAAATCCTTTGCCAAACTCCTTGAAATTGTAGCTTCATAATCTCCAGTAGATGCCCTTTCTAAATTAGCTTGAAGCATGAGACCTTTCAACTCCAGATATCTTGGCCATTTCAACTTCTGAAATAAACTATCTTCCTGCTTATCTTTGAACAACTCCTTGTCTGTTTCATGACGCTCATTCATTTTCACCTGTAGGTCATCCCAGTGCATCACATCATATAAATCTTGCATGGCCTTCGCTGCACCTTTTTTCTGCTTCTGTAAATCCTCTTCTCTTAATAAGAGGTGTTTGGGCATTAACTGGTAGTTCATGGGTTGCACACCTCCAACTCCATACTCAAGAGGTGTATGGTGAGAACTCCACAGCTTTAGAAGTACAGTAAACACCTTTGAAAATACAGAATGAGCTGTATCTTTCTCTGAATGTTCTGGAGGAATCCTGATGATACTACCAGTGCTGTAATCCATTAAAATAATGTGTCCATCTCTGGTCCCGAACAGAGTTAATCCTTCCCCACTTTTGTATGAAGTTCCACCTTCCGGGTTCCCCGTGCTTTGATTAATATCCCAAGGTGACTTAACAGAAAGTGAGCTGTCCGGAGCAAACAGCTCAAGTTCGATATGCGCCATTCGTATATGCGTCATCGCCATACGCCATGAAAATGCCTTTGAGCGAATCCTAAATGCTTCTTATATCTTTCAAGGCAAGCAACATTTAATTTCAGAAAAATCCCTAAGGAAAAATTTCGGATATTAATGCAAAATTTGCATTGAATTCCTAAAATGAAAATTATTTTGGGACAAGCTATACCCGCTAAAGTGACAAATAATTTGGGATTTGGGACGTGGGGAGTATGAAATAGGATGTTATTAATTGGACTGATTTCGGTTTCAGACCAGATAAGACCAGACCAAACTTCGATAATTGTAAACTATACATAGAATAGACATCTACCCGACCAGTTCAGACCAGACTAGAAAGTTACATTCCAATTAAAAACACCCATAATCCAGGCATGACCTGATCCTCATATATTAATCCTTGCCCGAGTGTCTTCATGATGCATCTTGAGATTCTAATCACATCATCTAAATGGCATTTATTTGCATGAAAATGCTTGGAATTGACTGAGCACACTGAACACAAAAGATCGATCAGGTTATGGTGAGATAAGGCAGCTTTCTGATGTGTCTCTTGTAATGCTCTGGTTCGGATTATGCCCCCCCCACCTTGTAGAAGTTTGACAATAAGAACCATATGGGCATGACCGGTCTGTATCTACAGGCCTACAGGGCTCTAATCTAGCATGCCATTATCTCAGAGCATATTCTGTGCATACTTCCTCTGGAAAATGACTACAATTATCAGATCAAATTACTTTAATGCCAAGTTTGAAAATTGCGGAATAGTTTGAGTATGGACAGTAATCACAGTATCATCCACATAAACCATGAGCTGGATACATTTCCCATTTTGGGACTGTTTGTAGAAAGCCGAATACCCTAGATCACTATAGATCATGAAACTCACATACAAGTATATTACAAAACCAAACTGGTAGAACCAGGCCAACAGAGACCAGCACATAACATTATAGAGCGCCTGATATTACATACTCAACCAGACTCCTTCCATGCTACAAACCCTGATTGTTGTTCCATATAAACTTCTTGGTGAAGATCAGAAACACTTCCCTGCATTTAGGCGGCAGTATAAGGTGTGATGAATAAACATTCTCCTGCATTTTCACTGGATAATAAAGGACTAGGCGCGCCAAACTGCTATAAACTATTAGGACATATAAGACACACTCTAATTAGCCATTTCATACTGTTCATGGAGTTACTTTCTAGGTAATCACTTTCCTTCTCCAGTTCTCCAAGAGGAAAATAATTTCATTTTGCTACTCACTGTTTTTGCTCAGATGAGATACCTAACAGTATAATATTTTTCCTCCCAATTACTTTCCTTGGAAAAGTATTCATTTCCCTCGTATCAAATTCCTCCTAAGATAAAGCGGGAAAAGGGATAGCTCAACCATCTCTGCGACATTGGAGGTAGACTCATTTGGGGGAGCAATTTTGGATAAAGACATGAACTAGACATATGAGAAAAAAGAGATGGACTTCCTGAGATGTGGTTGGAGGTTCAAGTGTCCAAAATCCATTACTGTAGGAGACATGCAAGCTATAGATGGGGTCCTTAAATACATCACAATTAGCGCTTTAGTCTATAGGTTCCATGAGGATGAACAAAATAATAGGGAAAATAATCTGTCCACCTAAGTCTATAGAATCTAGATTCAATTGCCAGTCAACTGTCACTAAAAAATAATTGGACAAAATCACCTGAGTTTCCCAGGGTAGACAAGTCTACTTGTTCAAGTGGTAGGCTGAGAATAGCATCCGATAAAGGGAGTCAATAAGGAAATTTGAGCACAAATGAATGAACCGGGTGCACATTGTGGCATGGCTTCTGGTGAAAGATCACAAAGATGATATGTGAGATGCACCAAAGATGAAAATTTAGCCGCAGAGTACCATTCCACCTAGGTAACTGCTGGAAAAAGAAAAACTGTGCCGGAATCAAGAACGTCCTAGGAAAGAGGTTACAGTACAATGTAGAATATGAGACAAAACTTATTAATCTATATATCTAAATAGAAGCCCCCTTTTATAGTAGTGGATATACAACATGGGGTAAGCCCACGATCATTAGGGTTACTCCTACACATCTCAACTTGTCATTTATTGAGATACACAAGTGTCATATGTCTATTTTACAGGTCCTAAATCTTTGTTGATCATATCACCACTTTGGGTTAATGGGGTAAAATTAATATTGATATGGAGCCTCCCAATATGCTTATTATGGTTTGCCAAATGTTATTGGGCTAAGAATGCCCCCTAGAATAACAGTTTTGTTTCTCATTTGATCCCTTTGTTTTTCTCTTTCCATTGTACTACCCACACTCAAATTGATTTAATTTCATATAACACTAATTTGATACATCCTATACTATTTTAGGGCTTATATGACGTGCCAACCGCTATTTTGTTTTTTAATTATATCATTAAATGCTATACTGCTTTGTCACTGTATTGCCAAACACCATACTACTTTTTAGTGGAATTAATAAACGTCTTCAAATTACTTTAAACAGAATCTCATCCCAATGATCAGGGACTTATTGCTGTAGTTTCTCAACAGTGCGTCCTGGTTATATGATCCATGTATTTGCTTTTCATGTGCTTGCAGAAGGGCCATGGCATTCCTGATTCTCTTATGCAAGAAGTTAGACATATATCACATGTTTTCTTTGATCAACCACATGACACAAAACTCAAGATTAAGCTCTCTACAGCAACCGGATACAGGTTATTCTGATCATCTCTCTTTGATGTTGAAGTATGCAAGTTATTCCTGTTGTCTTCACTACCAAATTGGTTTTATAATGATTTGCAGAGGGTATCAGTGGGTTGGACAAAATATAACCAAAGGCGTGCCTGACATGCATGAAGCTATTGATGTATGTTTTGTCAAGTACTTTTTGTCATCATCATCATTATTAATACCTTAATCCCAAACAGTCAAGGTCAGTGGCATTAAGTTTATAGTGTTAATCAATTGTGTAAAATTTTTTAACACTATAAATTCATGCCAAAAGGCATAGCTTCATGTTTTAGCCTAGAGACCTTCCTGTCACAACCTCATAAGAGGGAATAAAGAGATGGAAATTTTGAAGCCATAATCATCATACATTGTTCCCTTTATGTATGGAATATATTATGAGGTGCCAAGATATTTGCTATTGCCTTGTCCATGATTGATATTGCAAAAGGAACAATCAAATCATGAATCATGATTGCAAGTCTGCAAGTGCTTTCTTGTCCACTCTTTTTTTCCCTTTTCTGGTTGGAAAACGGGTCCTTCCAAGTTCCAAGAGCCTCATTTTTTATTTTGGTTTAAATAATTTCATTTTTGTCTTGGGCCTTATCTGCTTTGTTCACATTTACAGTGTCTGGCGCAACACACATTTGTTGAAATGTTGATATTTTATACATAAGATGTGTAAAAGTGGGGCCACACATGCTAATGTTCTCAAAGATGGTTATGTTGCTAATTTATACTTCCTCTATCCCTGAAAGATTTGCCAATTTTGATTCACATGTAGATTTAGAAAATGAAAAATTTGTGGCTGAGATTTATCTAGAAGAGAAAAATGATATGGACCACAATTTATTTCTTAGAGGTACAAGTTTTTTGGCACAACTAAATCAGGAAAGTTGGTAAACCTTTTGGGGTGGAGGAAGTATGCACTTGTCAAGAGTCCTTATGCTCTGGAAGTCATAATTACAATTATTGTAAGTGTCTTCTGTAGTTCACAGAACTAATTTGTTTTGCTGATCATTAATATTTTTCTTTTTCAAATTTTATGCTTTGGAATAGTGCTACAAAGAAGTGAAAGATGGAATGTACGGAGGTCTTGGAGAAGTTATGAAAGGATCTAACAAATGGTATGCCCACAAGATAATTACTCTCCATTGTGTCGGTCCTATGTATGATCACTTATTAATAGGAAAAAGTCATTTTTGATATTCTCCCTTAATTTTGAGAGAGACATGACATGGATTTTAAATGGATATAGTTAAGTATCTTGGACACAGATTAGGACTGAAGTGCCATTTTCGTTGCACCTTTTTGTCTGTTTCCTGTTGAACCTGTGAATGAAAGTAGCGGTACTACTTCTACATTTCTTTTTTATTTCTCCGGTAAGACTGATAGAAGGAGAGAGGATAAAAGAGGAAGAAAACCACATTTATGCTCTCCATTCTGCAGGCCTGGTAACCCCCCAGATTTTGAAAGACTGATGGAGGAATACATCAACTTTTGTACAGGTGACTTAATTTTTGTGATTTGTTTATTCCTTGATGCTAGACTGGGGCAATTGGGTCAGTTGACCATCCTGACCTCACTAAACTGTTTATGGGCCTGTAATTCAAGTAGAGCCTGCCACAGTCCTGGCTAGTTATGGTGGCCTGGTCTACCTGGACATTCTACCATTATACATTTATACCTATAGTCCTATAAGCCCTTGGCGCATGGCAATTCCCATTCGCAGGCATAAAGTTCTTTTTCCTGTCATTATATATTGTATAATGAAAGATTTATTTGCTGGTTAGGACTTTGAAGGTAGACAGTTGACTGTTACGACTACTAAGATATGTTAAAAATGGGGAATCAGAATTAAAGAAACCAGAGAATCAGAGTTTAATTTTGTTAGTGTAGTACTAGCAGTAGCGTAAACAATCTGAAAAAGGAAAAGTTATTCGAAGTATTAAAGATAGGCAATACCTGGTTTTGTGGCGGAGGGGAAGGGGATAAGGACCACTCTAACAGGGCAATGTCAGTTTCAAATGGTGGCATTGGAAAGCACTAGCAGTGGCTGCTCGCTTGCCACTGACAATAAATTACTGAACAAAGTGGTCATAAATTACTAAACCCTACCCCTACCTTCAAGTTATATATATACATTGTGTTGATAACAAATACCTAAAGTTACTGTGCTTAAACATTCCCGGAATCATATAGAGGAGTTTGATCATGATTTTCAAATCATAAAATTCACACATTATTAAGTAAATGTAGTGAATTAAAAATTCACTGGTAATATATAGTTCTGGCAGACATTCATCATAAACATTCACCATGCACGTTGGTGTAAAATGCGGTACTTATGTATAAATCCCGCAGTCTCTCGCACACTGAGACACATGCTATTGCAATGTTAAATGTATTTTCTTTTGTAACACAGATCTATCAAGAAAGATAATGAGGGGAATTGCTCTAGCATTGGGCGGATCAGTCGATGAAATTGAAAGGGAAAGAGCTGGAGACCCATTTTGGGTTCTACGCATTATAGGTTATCCTGGGGCATCTTCCTCGAGTGGCCAGGATGTACAAAAAAATGATATTGGATGGTAATAGCCCCATACTATCCATTTCTTTTATTTAATTTTTTTCCTTGATAACCTTCACTACTTGTAGTAAGTAATCATCTTCTATCATTACTTTTTTGAACATGGAATAAACTAGCGGGGCTCATACAGACTATGGTAACATTTCTGCTCATCTGTTCATCAGGCATTATAATAAAAGATTTTACGCCCATATAGTAAATTAACTTTTTTTTTTCATTTTGGATCATACAGGACTATTAACACTAGTTAATCAGGATGACGATATTACCGCCCTTCAGGTATTAACTGTCTGAGAGTTACTTTAGACATGCTATATGACTTGCCAATTGCTATTAGGTATATGTTTTTGGTCCCTTGTGGATATCACATTGCATCTATGTTATGAATGTTATCCCTATGTAGAATTAGAGTCATTTCTTATTTTATGGCAAAGGGTTGCTTGGATTGCTAAAATGCGGGAGATATTTTAAGTTTTCTGGGAATACGTAAAATGTGTTTTTGCAATCCGAAATATTAGGTCTGGATGGGAAACATGCTACGCACTTGTATACCTAGTGGCGTAGGTTTTTTTTGAAGGAGAATTTTTAGTGAGATGTTGAGTTGTTTCTTTTTTGTGGAATCCATGCTACACACTTATTTTTAGCATAGTAGTCAATGGCGAGATATGGCGCGCGCCATATGCGGCTATGCGCCATCGCCGTGAAAAAGTCGTCATCGCCATAGCTTCATATGCGCCTGATGCGCCATTCGTATATGTGCCATCGCCATGTGCCGAAGAATGCCTTTGAACCATGGCGATTGCCATGCACTATGACAACTATGATTTTTAGTTGGTTTAGTTGCATCTTTTTGTAAATAGGAAAAAACAAATCATTCAATAAGAACCTGTTAGTGGGATAAATAATACGTAGTAGAGTCTATGAATCATAATTATTTTGGTACCCGAAAACGATGATATTTTATCCAAAAAGTAAAAATTAACTGATTTAATTTATAATTTAAGAAGTTTTATTGGTTTGATTGAATGGGATAATTTGTGCAAAAATAAATAAATTTAGTAATTTTTTGATAGAGATTGCGCAGGTATTGAATAGAAATTCAATAGGAAATCTAGCTAAACAGAAGGAATTTAGCTCAAGAAACAATCAACAACTTTGTTGATGAAGGTAAACCAGTACACGAGTCCCAAAGAAGAGAGAAAACAATTCTCTAATCTTCCCAAGTCCCAAGACCAAAGTCTAACAACCTTCTTTCTATTCTTAGAGTTATTCTATTTATAGCCTCACAGAATAATCGAAAGTAATTCATAGCTAATAACAGAAAATAACTATCAATTATCTATTCTATTCACTCCTTCTAGAATAGACCCGACTAGGCATGGCCTCGGTTCGGGCCGCCCGGCCCGGGACCGGCCCGACCCGCTACTGTGCGGGCCCGGCCCGGCCCGGTTTTCCGGGTCCCGGTCCGGGTCCGGTTCGGGCCGGAGGCCCGGGGGTGGGGCGGTTCCGGGCTCGGTTCATGGGTTTGACGGCCCGGCCCGGCCGGTTCGGGCCCGGGTCCGGGCCAAATCTATTTTTTTTTTAATTTTTTTTCATTTTTTTGGGCTGTTGGGCTTGGGCTATCTGTTTAGGCCGGTTTGGGGGGGTTTGGGGGGGTGGGGGGGTGGGGGGGGGGAAGAAAGGAAAAAAAAAAAAATTAAACCGGGTGGCCCGAACCGGCCCGGCCCGGTCCGGCCCGGAACCGGACCCGGGACCGCCCTACCCCGGTTCGGGCTCGGGCCTGCTATTACTGAACCGAGGCCCGGCCGGGCCTAGGCCTGAGGCCCGAACCGGCCCGGTTCAGTCCACCACTAGACCCGACCAAAGTAATTATTTTTCCACCGGGTGGCCCGAACCGGTCCGGCCCGGTCCGGCCCGGAACCGGACCCGGGACCGCCCTACCCCGGTTCGGGCTCGGGCCTGCTATTACTGAACCGAGGCCCGGCCGGGCCTAGGCCTGAGGCCCGAACCGGCCCGGTTCAGTCCACCACTAGACCCGACCAAAGTAATTATCCTCCTCCATTTCAGCTATTCTATTCAATACTCCCCCCTAAATATCCACCTTGCCCTTAAGGTGGGTGATAGGAAACGACCATGATCTTCCCTTTCCACTTCATTCTTGCACCTCTCCCTTCCCAATACATGACTTGATTGCTGGACAAGGAACTTTCATACTTGAATCTTCCTCCTCACTTCTTCTAGCAAAAGCAACAATAGATCCTCTACCTTGAAAGCATCAATACTATTCATGTGACTTTGTTCATGCTGGTACTGAGCTTTACACATCACCAACTGCTTAATCTTCCATTTGCTAATAGCTCTTGCTTCACTCCTTGGAATTTTAGCATCTGACATATATTCCTTACTGATAAGAAGAACAGTCAGAACATGAGGTATTAAAGGAGGTTTTCCAACATGACAAAGAAATACAAGGTTTTATACATTGAAAAGAGTTACAAAGTACATATAAAATTTTACTCCTATGCTCTCCTCCTCGAACGCATATCCATTTCATTGTCGCCTTGTCGGGATGTCCATATGTTATTATGCATACATGCCAATTTCATCCGACAACTCAATTCATAACGCGCTCCAAAGATCAGGACTAACTACATGTGTTCTCACATTATACGACTGCGTAGGTGAGAGAGAAAATCTAATGGTCAGCATTCATGACGATCGCAATCAGGAGATTACCCTTGAACTTCTCGTACAAGTGAGTACTATCAACACATACTACATGCAAACATTGTTGGAACCCATCAATGGAAGCTTTGAAAGCCCAAAATGGAAGGAAAAATTCATACGCACTAGTGTTATCAATTGGATTTGTTTAGAAATCTACCACTAATCCAGGATTTTAATTTCTTAGTGCCTGCAACAAATTGGGTAAATCATTTTAGGCTGCCTCCCAGTTGTCGAATCTTCGCTCGAGGGTAAGTAAACGTCCATACCACGCCTTTTTGTACCCGACATTGATATTGAATTTGTCGTATATGTCTTTATCACTAGTTTAATGTTGTAGTCCAGATCAATATGCACTTTTGTAGCGATTTCACTCGCTATAATCTTGTTCGTCAGTATTCGTCATCACAGGCTCTTAAATAATCCGATCTGCAGTTGTGTAGTGGTTGATATATTTTCACCATCCACAAATTGGAGTTCAGAAGTTCTCCCGCTTCAATGTGTGTCACGTACACATGTCATCCAAGATGCATACTTCCTTCCATGACTTGACACGTTTGTCTTGTATTTGGAAAATTCGGAATTGACGAGTATTTTCTTTTGCTACGACTTCCTTCAATAAGCCGTATAAATTGTATATTGCGTCGATCATAATAGTTTCAGGATCATGATTTGCTGGTTTAACATATGTTTCTTCCAGTTCAATATTGGCCCATATAGTGTCATGAGCGTCATCACTATCGTTAGAATTGATTGTTTCTGGAGTTCATAGTCTGGATCATCTTCCTCTTCATATATTGTTGAAGGGTCCTCTCCAGTCGAGATAGTGTTGCCAACGGTTTGCGAGTTATAGCGTCGGCCGAATTTCGTTGATGGTCCCTCATTGTGGGAGTGAATGTTGTTAAACGTTTCACAATTGTGGGTATGATCTCCACCATAATTCGAGATTGGTGGTTGGACCGTAGGGGTGTTTCGTGCATCCACGAAAATCTGCAATACTTCATACTCTCTTTTAGCTTGTTGAAAAAAGTGCTTCCAGGTATCATTATCATGAATGGGCCGCAGTCAAGAAACCACATACACGATCTTTGTACTGGATATAATTTCTCCAAAACCTCTCCACGTGCACTCTTCTACAATACGTAGATTTAGGAGTGGGGTCCACAACCAAGATTGTAAATGATTTTTAAGGTTTTAAATTCCATGGATTTAAAAAAATTAAAATAAAAAAAATTCCATGGATTTTAAAGAATTACAAAAAGTCCATCAGGTTTAGTGGAATTCTATATATGTAGATTTTAACAGATATGTGTGAAGGACGAGGCTCCCAGACCTTTGAACAGGAATCCAAATTCCGGTCCCACTCTTGAATCGTTCTCAAGTTTCTTGCTAAGTTCGACCCTTTAGATTGCAACTCCATGCTTCCAGATTCCGAGCGAGGAAGCGTTGGCCATTGCATACCTCTGAGCTTTCAGTCTGCTGGGGAAGTACGATGTGGACTTGTTGTCGAGGATGAAGAAACTGGAGCTAAGAAGAGGAAGAAAAGGTTTGGATTGAGCTAGGCTATCTGGATTTTGAAATCCGAGAGGGAGGGACTGATTGCTGGTGGAATGAATTCTTCTTGTTTCTAGTATATAATTCCACCGAAATCATTCCAAATCCATGATAATAAATATCCATGGAATATTTTTGAGGATGATATATGATGTTTTTACTTGGACGGTAATTTGTTGTTCTGGTCTGAACTCGTCTGGTCTGATAATGTCTGGTTTCTTTGTATTTTTATAACTATCCAAGTCTAGTTTGAACTGGTCTGATCTAGGGGTGGACTCGGGCCGGTTCGGGCCTGGGCCCGGCCGGGCCTCGGTTCATGAAAGGGGAGGCCCGGAACCGGCCCGGGTGACCCCTTGGTCCGGTTCGGGCCGGGCCTCGGTTCAACTTAATTTTTTTTTTTGGGCTTTTCCTAATTAACTCCAACCCTCCCCCCTCACCCCCAAATCACCCCAAGCCACCTCAAATGGCCCAAAATACCCAGCCCAACCCAAAAACTTAAAAAACATTAAAAAAAAAGGAAAAAAAAATTGGCCCGGACCGGGCCCGAACCGGCCGGGCCGGTTCACCTTTTTCAGGGGCCCGAGCTCGGCCTGGAACCCCAGCGGGTGGGGCCTACCCGGCCCGACCCGGTCACTGTTTGAACCGGCCCAGGGCCGGGCCGGTGGTTCGGGCCGGTTCAAACAGTGATCGGGCCGGGCTGCCCGGCCCGAGTCCACCCCTAGTCTGATCTGGTCTGGTCGGAGACAAATTACAGTCCAAGTAAAAACATCCATAGTTGTAAGGATCCATTGCACTCTAAATTTGGGACATGTAGATTGTGATAGAATTTTAAAATCTTTTGGAATCCTAATGGAGGATAGCCCCTTAGAGTGTTAAAGCCATCGTCATTACCCATTAACAACGATGCATTCGGAGAAATTGAATACACTACTTTGTTATCTTTCAAACTAATAGAGCCATTCTAGTGGACAAGAATGAAAATGCTCTCAACCACCTAAAATTAGAAGGCAACAAAGCTGCATGCCTTTTAACTTTAGGTGGTTTGGAGCACTTTCGTTCTTGTCCACTGGAATGACTCTACGAGTGATGTGAGCACATTCGTTCTTGTCCACTGGAATGACTGTATTAGTCTGGAAGATAACGAAGTAGAATATTCAATTCCTGTGAACGCAACACTGTTAATCAGCAATGACGATGGCTTTAATACTATAAATCAACGTATTGTTATAGTGCACGCAGAGAGATTTTGGAGAAATTATATCCATTCATGGAAAATTATTAAAGTACAATGATTGTGTGTATGTGACTTCTAGACTGTGGCCCATTTATGATGGTGATACTTGGAAACACTTTTTCCATTTTCCAACATGCCAAAAGAAAGTATGAAGAACTCCAGATTTTCGTGAATGCACGAAATACCCCCAGTCCAACCACAAATCTCGACTACGGAGGAGATCATATCCACAGTTGTGAATGCATGAAGAACTCCCATGATGAGGACCATCAATGAGATACGGCTGACGCTATAACCCACAAATTGTTGGCAACATTATCTCGATTGAAGAGGACCATTGAATAATACTAGTATATGAAGAGGAAGACGATCCATTTCCGGCAATGACGATACAATGAATTCCGATGATTGTGATTACGCGAATGACACTACATGGGCCAATATTGAAATAAAAGAAACATATGTTGAACCAGCAAATCATGAACCTGAAAAACTATTTCGCTCGGCTCAATATATAATTCATATGACTTACTGAAGGAATCTGTAGCTAAAGAAAATATTCGGCGATTCTTAATTTTCCAGACACAAGACAAACGTGTCAAATTATGAAAGACAATATGTTCCTATGGTGACATTTGTATGTGGCACATTCAAGCGAGAGAATTTTTGAACTTCTATTTTGGAAGATGGAAAAATATCAACCACTACACAACTGCCGACAGGATTATTTAAGAGCTCATGATGATAAACTGTTGACGAGCAAGATCACAGCGAGTGAAAGTGCTATAAAACTGATGTTGATCTAGACTACAACATTAAACTCGTGATGCAAGACATATACGAGAAATTAAATATCAATGTCGAGTACAAAAAGGCGAGGTATGGACGTTTACTTAACCTCGAGCGAAGATTCAACAACTGGGAGGCGGCCTAAAATAATTTACCCAATTTGTTGTAGGCAATAAGAAATTAAAATCCTAGATCAGTGGTAGATTTCCAAACAAATCCAACTGATAATCCAGTACCATTGAATTTTGACTTCCATTTTGAGCTTTCAAAGCTTCCGTTGATGGGTTCCAACAGTGTTTTCCCGTAGTATCGGTTGACAGTATTCACTTGTACGGAAAGTTTAAAGGGTCATCTCCAGGTTGTAGTCACCACGAATGTTAACCGTAAGATTTTCTCTCGCCTACGCAGTTGTAGAATGTGAGAACACAAGTAGTTGGTCCTGATTTTTTAAACGCGTTATGAGGTGTGTTGTCAGATGAAATCGGCATGTATGCATAATACCATATTGGTATCACATCAATGAAATGGATATGCGTTCGAGGAGGAGAACACAAGAGTAAAATTTTATATGTACTTTGTAACTCTTTTCAATGTATAAAAACTTGCATTTCTTTGTCATGTTCTGAAGAATGAGTAACGAAATATTTACTTTTGTGGGAACATTGGGAACATTCGAACAACTTGATAATACAATATCATCATGGGGAAAATTGCTATATAACCATAAAAAATAGGTCCGGTGAAGTTAATAGCATCTATTTTATATAATGAAGTACATCACACTTTTTTATGAATATAAAGCCGGTAAACATTAAAAACCGTATCTATCCTCATTCTTAAATATAGTTCGTTACAACCGGCCAGATATGAGAACGGAGATCATATTATTTATTTAACTTTATATTGCAAATTGATTTTCTTTTCCTAATGGCTATAGTCACGTTTGGAGATAACGTAAAAAAAACATGTTTTTCCTTTGTTACCCAAGATTGCAAAAGAAAGCTACGTATAATTTTTTTCCAGAAAACTATATATGAACTCCACTTATTGCCAGAATGCAAGGTTTTTTCCAAAGAGCACTATAACTCCACCTTCATTTTATTTTATTTTATTTTATTTTATTTTATTTTATTTTATTTTATTTTATTTTATTTTATTTTATTTTATTTTATTTTATTTTATTTTATTTTATTTTATTTTATTTTATTTTATTTTATTTTATTTTATTTTATTTTATTTTATTTTATTTTATTTTATTTTTATTTTATTTTATTTTATTTTATTTTATTTTATTTTATGCCCTTTCCACTTATGAAAAACGAAAGTGTGTAACCCCAGAGAAAGGTGCGAATTTAGGGGGATAGTGAGAGAGAAGGAAACTGGCAAGGTTAAAAGGGACATCATATGATCGTGGGTTTCTTTAAAGGCTATTTACCTTATTTTTACTAATTCATGATATTAAGTTAAAGTTACATACTACCTCCGTTCTCTTTTAGTTGCAACATTGGACTTTTTGCACTATTCACATCTTCTACTTTGACTACATTTTATTAATTGATGTATAATAAATTAAATTTTTAAAAAATATTGTTAAATTCTTCACATTCTAAAATTTCAAAATATGAATTTTTTTAAATTTTTTACATATAAGAAATGAAAGATATTAATGGTCAAACTTGTGTGTTGGCAAACGTGAAATGTTGACTGTTGCAATTAAAATGGAACGGAGAAAGTATTAAATTGTGTACATCCACCCAATTTTCTCTATCATTAAATATGTATATCCATTAATACAATCACTTTACCCCACCGTAGGTGGGAGCATTTGTGGCACTGGGGTAACGATGATTCAGTAATACAAGTAATCTAACAATTGATTATTTTTTATTTAATAAAATAGTAAACATCTTTCCAACTATAAATTTATATATTTTAGCACATATTATCCCATTCAATCAAACCCACAAACCTTCTTAAACGATAAATTAAATCAGTTAATTTGTACTCCGTACTTCTTGAAAAAATATTATTGTGATTTGGTTCTAAAATAAGTATAATTCATATACTCTATTGTTTATCCCCAGTCCCCACCAACAAATTCTTTTTAATTATTTGTGTTTTCCTATTTACGAGAAGAACTAAACCATCTAAAAAATAAATATGCGACATGTATTCCACTAAAAACAAATAACTCAACATCCCATCAACAATTTCCCTTTAAAAGACACTACGCCAATAGGTATACAAGTGCGTAGCATGTTTTTTAAATTATAAAAACCACTTTTTGGATTCCAGGAAACATGTTTTTTTTGCTTCCTAGGTTGACCTTATATTTTCGGATTCCAGAAACACGTTTACGTATTCTCAGAAAACAAGAAGTATCTCCCCCATTTGGGAATCCATGCAACTCTTTCCCGGTATAATAAGAAATGACCCAAAACTATAGCCGCTTTTCTGGATTGGTTGTTATTGTGATGAGCATTTGTAGGTAAAAAACCGATCTGGTGAGTGGATATCAGCACCACCAATCCCTGGCACATTTGTTTGCAATATTGGCGATATGCTACAGGTATTTTATTGTCTCCCGTTTTCTCCTTTAGTTTCAACTCCTTGTATAGTTCGCTAAGAACTTTAAAGTGCTGGCAAATCTGCAGATCTTGTCAAATGGACTGTATGAATCCACCTTGCACCGAGTCATGAACAAGTCTCTAAAATACCGTGTTTCTGTGGCCTACTTTTACGAGGTCAGCTAATAGCTACCATCATTTTAATTATGGCTATGACGAAATATCCATTACCATTTCATATACTTGCATTTCCATATACAGCCAAATTTCGATGCATTAATAGAGCCACTGGAAGTGTGTAAGCAGCAGACTGGTGGGCTGAGAAACTTTGAAGGAGCTGTTTATGGAAAGCATTTAGTTGATAAAGTCACAACCAACTTTGTGGCGTAATTTTAGTTTTTTCGTACTTCTAATGGAGATGGGTGCTCTGAAAGCTAAGTCCTTCTAATGGAGATGGGTGCTCTGAAGTCTGAAATTTGAGTTGGACTAGTTTATTTTCAAGCTTCGTACAGTCCCTACTTATTGATGCATTAATTGAATGATACCTGGCGACCTTTGGATCTTTCGATGAAAGTATCAGAACTACAATATTACTCCGTACCTATGAATTGAGGATTGACATACTCCGTATGAAACTTATCAATTTATTGCATGTTGAATGATTGAAAACTTATCAATTTATGGCAGGTTGAATGATTAAAAAGTATCAACTCAATAACTCAATTTGTGAGATGCACTTTTCTGTAGGTAATATCCAGAAAATATGAATATCTTCCTATATTACATACTACTAACTTTCTACCTTCTTACTTTATCTCTTTATTTATCATTTCACTCTTTACTATATAACTATATTCATTTTAGGAAAAATAGAAACTAGTAATCCAACCTTTTAGTGGTCTTCTTTTAATAGTCCCACCTTTTCGTTATTCATGAATAATCCAACATTTGCACCTCATCTTCATTCACTGGTCCCTGACCGGTTGATGACCAGCTATTCCAAGTTATTTTCTTATCTTTGCAAAATATTATCTTTGTGAAAGGTGGAATTTATGGTATAATAGTTTGCAGAGATGAGAAAATAACTCGGAATAGCTGGTCATCAACCGGTCGGGGACCAATGAATGAAGATGAGGTGCAAAGGTTGGATTATTCATGAATAACGAAAAGGTCGGACTATTAAAAGAAGACCGCTAAAAGGTTGGATTATTAGTTTCCATTTTCCCTTCATTTTATCGTTTCTTATTTCATTCTTACTTTTCTTTTTCTTATTATCTTTCTTCTATTTTTGACATTGATATCATGGATCGATTCATGTTAGTCAATCCCAACTTTTTTATTATTATTAAGGCATAATGTTGTTATTGTTGTTTTTTGGAGGTTAGAATTATAAAGTAATCACTTTATTGTTTATTTTCTTAAAATACACTAGGACATATAGATGCGTATGTACGGAGTATATTATAATGGACGGAGGTAGTATGAATTTGGGTAGTATGAATTTGGTTTTGTTTTTTAACAGTATTTGGAGTAAATTCTTCCCTGAACTCAATAATCAATATGTTACCCGAATACCCGTGAAGGAATATTGATTAAAACTTAACACAAGAATGATTAAGAATTAAAGGGAAATTTATGTGGTAACCCCTTGGCCCGGGGTATCCCCTAGACCCATACTACTTACACTTTATTCTTATGTCTCATTTGCTTTTGCACGTAAACTAAAACAATTATTGTACACTTTATAAAACACTCCTTTCGTCCAAACTGAATTTCAAAAATGACTTTTTGGGTCAAACGGACTCATTGTAATCACTTAATTAAGATATAATGCTTAATTAAATTTTAATTTAGATTTTGTAATTTTATAAAGATTTTAATGTAGCTTCTGAATATGTAATTTTTTAATTATTAAAATTGAATTAATTATGAACATGGAGGATTTAATTTTAACATTCGTTGACCAAAAAATGTTGACTTTGCAAAATAATTAGACAAAGGTAGTAAGAGGTTAGCTGTTTTTAGGATGAGTTTCTTCCAAAAAAATGAAAATGAGACAATTAACTTGATGCATCCCAAAAAGAAAAGTAAGACAAATAAAGTGATACTGAGGGAGTATGAGAGAACCTATATGTAATTACGGCTTTGTTTGCAACCACTTGTGGTTAAATAAATTTTTTTTGGGAAAACGTGATTAGTAGTAAAAGTTGGTAGTGTTTGGTAAAATAAGTGCTTTTTGTGTAATAGAAAAGGTAAAAAGTAGATTCTACACGAAAACCAAGATAGTAAAAGTTGGTAGTGTTTGGAAAAATAAGTACTTTTTTCTTATAAAAAAAGCCAAAAGCACTTATCAACAGATTGCAAACAGAGCCTACATACCTCAACTATTTGTACATAAAGATATATTTGTTCTAATTTTACAATTTTATGTTTAATTGGTCCAAATGAAAGTTGAATAGTATATTCATTATCTAAATACAATTGGAGAGAGTATTTGCATTACCGAATTGGAAATAGCTCTTCCAAATTCGTCAGAGGTTTCTCATAAACGTGAATGATGAGCTAAAAAATCAGTAAGTTTAAAACATTCTTTCCAAGTCAAATTTGTTAAAATGAAAATTCTAAAAATACCCAACTAATTTAAGAACTGCATATTGAAAAAGAAAAGCATTTATTTATTTTAGATGTTTTTTTGGTGTTTTTAAACTTAATAAAATTGTTAGAAGATGCACCAGCGCAACGATTCCTTACATATACACTTGTAATAAATCTTGTTTCATTTATAAGTATTTTAATTGTCAGTAGCTGAAGGGGGTGAATTATTTCGATTTTGAAGAAAATATCGGTTAATTGGCAAAAAAAAACAATGGGACTTTTTGACAATTCTCTATATCTACAAGCAAAAAAATACAATGGGACTTTTTGACAATTCTGATCTCTATATTTACAAGATTGTTTATGATGGAGTGACTGTGACTTTTCAAAGTTACCATGTTGAAATGACTATAATGTAAACATTGAACATAATTATACTTACTAAAAGTTACTAAATCACATTTTTATTTGTAACTTTTTTATTAGTAATATTTTAGAAAGATCTCTGTATACATTTCACTTATTTAGAGAAAATTAATACACGTATGACTAAAAGCAACACGGTTTCCGGATGTATGATTTGGGTAGTTTTTCCCTAAAATTAAATGATGCATAAATGACATGCCATCTTGTAAATGTAACCGTTGCAATAAAATACCCAGTATATGGTAAGCATGTACATCCTTTGCTAGTCATATAATCATAAATAAACTTTTTAAGTCATATTATGGGAAACTGGACATGTTTTGTTTTTCCCGTAAATGAGAATTTTTCACCATCATTTATTAGAAATTGTCCTAAATATGAGTAAACGTTTTGAAATTCGAAAAATAAGACTTTCATGTTTTTATTCCCTAAATAGGAGCGATTCTGTCAAGTTTGGGGGGAAATGTCGTGTTTAAAGCCTAGGATAATACCAAACTTGGTAGAATTTTACTCCTACTCGGGGAATAAAAAACATGATAATTCTATTTTGGAATTTCAAAACTTTTTTACTTCAATTTAGGGAATTATCTTTTCATTTATTCAGAAATAATTTAGAATTGGGACAGTGCGTTTTTATGGTGGGTAGAATGCGTTAAAAAGTGGTAATTAGAGTATTTAAATCAGCAAAAGTTGATAAAAAAAAACAAGAGTGAGTGTCTAAATTCCAAAAATATGATTAAAAAGTTGTGATTGGAGAAAAATGCCCTTTTAAGGTCATCAAGGAGATCGAGCCGCCGCCAGGCCACCACCGACCATCGCCGGACCTCCTTCTTTGCCGTTGCTACGGACAGCTCCACCGAGCAGTTTCCACTCTCCAGTCTCCACTATACCATATCTAGTGGGATTAGTAAACACTAGACACATATAACACATTAAGGCGAAACCCTAAGGGAATGATATACGTACTCAAAACCCTAGCCCTAAAATGTAAGGAGTAAAAAGTCATTGGAGCTAGCACCTAAATTTAGAATCATGGACTAAAACCTTTACAAAGTGTTCAAATAGGATCAATTATATACGATAGTATTTTTATTCTTCAAATATGGTTTATTATTTGATCGTATTTAAAGTATAAAACTTCTCTAGTTAGATGTAAATGAGTCCTATTTTAAGAAGAAAAATAATGGTGATCCTATTTGTGCAATTAATTTATATTTTAATCTCATTTAATGAATTCTCACAAATATGTACTCATACTTTGACACTTTTATAATGAATAAAATTCACTTTTGATCCTATGAGTATCGCACCAATTCCATAGATAGTTCAAGTCTTCGACATGAGCCACTTTGGGTATATGACTCTTAAGTTTTCGCCCATACATGGTCTTTCCGCTGATATTTCCGGTGGTTAAAATCGCCGGACGACCACAAATAGTCAAGAATCATTAATCAAGTAGGAAAACAAGGTGAAATACGTGAATTAAATGTGAAATTTGCATAAATTTCATACTATAGGAAGTGAGATTTATACCTTTTACTTCTTATAATATAGGATCCGAGTATAATTTGCTTCTATTTGGGGCAATTTGTTTATTCAAATTATACTTTATTGTACAGCTTCCATAGCCAGATAGCAACCACCCCTAAGGCAGGCCGCAAGTACCATGCAGCCACCACCACAAATGCTGGCCGTTGGAAAGTCTCTGCCGAACCTCTAGCTACCATCACAAAGTCGCCGACAACCGTTGGGCAGCTACCAGTAAGCCCTTATATATTAAGGTGGTTGGCGAGCCCTAACCGGCTAACCCTAGCTATAAATGCTAAACCTAAACCATCCTATGTCCCTAAACAATAACGCTAAAGTAGTTTAGGCTAAAGTTATCTCTTTGGAAAAGTCTTAATTGCTTAAGGATCGAATAAATAAAGCCCACCCTGTCCTAGCTAGACTCCTAGCTAGCTATGTTTTGAAACATGAACGTAACATGGTAGCAAGGTTTTAAAAGTAAAAAATGATGTTTGTACCCACTCTTATACACACCTATGTTTGTGAAGTGTTTTTTTGTCCGTAAACCTCGGTTCATAAACAATATTTTGTACAAACAAAATATTGTCCGTGAATCGGATTCACAGAAGAAAAAAAACTCTTCACAAACATGGTGGGTATAAGGTGGGTATAAGAGTGGGTAGGTACATCAAGCATTGTTGTTTAATAGTAGTTCTCCTAGAAATGGTTCAATATAGAATTAAAACTTACACAAAGTTTAATAATACGACTAAGTACATAGTAGGGAGTATGTTTTATTTCTCAAATAAGACTTACTACCTCCGTTCTCTTTTAATTGCAACATTGGACTTTTTGCACTATTCACGTATTCTACTTTGACTATATTTTATTAATTAATGTATTATAAATTAAATTTTTTTAAAATATTGTTAAATTCTTCTCATTCTAAATTTTCAAAATATGATTTTTTAAAAATTTTTACTAATAAGGAATGAAAGATATTAATGATCAAACTTGTGCATTGACAAACGTGAAATGTTGACTGTTACAATTAAAAAGGAACGGAGGAAGTATTTAATTCTATTTAGAATAAGTTGATTAAAATTTCCCGGAGTAAACAACATCCGTTTAGAGAATTTTCTCTAGTTCTTTAATAGTCAGTCAAACATCATAAACTCAAAATCAAATGAAATGGGAGGAGTAGTGTACAAAGAAACACATCAAAGAACTGAACAAGACAGTAAATTAGAAATGATGATGATGATGTTCTTGCATACTTCGTATGTCGGCAGCCGGTAGGGCTTCAGCAAAATCTTGGAGGAAAGATCAGAAGATGAATAATATAATGGCAAACAAACACCGATAAGAAGCTATGATCACGTACTTGTATGATGCATGAATGTCAACTATAAGCTCGATCACCATGCAGATCGATTCACATATATAATATATATTACCTCCCTCCCAAAAAAATGTTCCTCATATTGATATTCTTAGTCAATGATGACAAACATTGGACAATGATTTTGATTATTATATTTGTATATGATTTATAAAGTTTATACTTTAATGAAAATATTTTGAATAAGAAACATTTTAATATAATTTCGTATTAAAAAATATCATTAGTCAAAGTTGATTATCAATTTGACGAACCTTTTTCCGGACGGAGGGAGCCAGGAGTATATATATCAATGGTGCCTGTGTACACTATTGAGGGCTTTATAAGTTCTTGAGGACTTCCTCTTGGACTTGCGGGGACGAAGACGATGATCGGCCACCGCCTCCACCGCCTCTTCCGCCACCATTTTCGGAACTTCGACAATCTCGCAAGGCACTTGCAGCATGGATCTCGGGTCGGGGCATTTCCTGGGCTGCACAAAGAACCTCTTACACTCCTCTGCACTTCTCTGGTTCGGAAGATCCAAAATGCAGTTATTCTGTACATCAAGGACCTTCTTCTCCAGCAACAGCCTGCATTCTGGTCCGATCTGTGTGAAGTAGTTCCCGCTCAGGATCAGCTCCTCCAGACCCTTCACCTTGCACAGAGATTCTGGAACCGTCCCATAATGCTCATTGCTTTTCAGGTTCAGAATCTTCAGATTCTTGAGACATCCCAAGGATTGAGGAAGTGGGCCCCTCAACGTGTTGATACTGGCGTCGAAAACGCTCACGTTTTTCAGCAGCCCGATTTCGTAGGGAAGACAGCCCGACAGCTTATTGTTCAATAAAAGAATCTCAGTTAAGGTTGCCGCCGCATATCCGATGCTCTTCGGAATCGGGCCGGTGAGTTTGTTGTTCGCCAACGACAGGAAATACGCCGGCGTCTTACCGAGGGTCTCCGGGATCGAACCGTTGAACCCATTGTTGTTCAGAAACAGAGCATCCAGGTCCAACGTGAATACCCTGTCGGGAATGGGCCCCACCAGGGAGTTGTACCGGAGATCCAAGAATGTCAAGTTGGTGGCCTCAAGAAGGGCGGCGGGGAACTCTCCGGCGAGCTTGTTGTTGCTCAAATCCAGCTCGAACAGGGTGGGGAGAGCGGCGGTGGAAACCGCAAGCGGCGATTCCCCGGCGGTGAAATTGTTGGAATTGACGTGGATTACGGCCAGGTCCGGCAGAGAGTCAATGAACCCGTTCAGGGAGAGGTGGGTCCCGTCGAGGTTGAACCCGTTGAAGTTGATCCCGCCGACTCTCAGCCGTGTACTGCCGTCAGGGGAGTAGCAGTGGAACCCTTTGTAGGTCTCTGAGTTGAAGCAGAGCTCGTCGCCGGTCCAGGTTTTGGTGAACCCGTTCGGGTCATTTGTGATTAGCTGCTTGAATTGGGATATGGCTGTGATGGACTTTCTGATCACCGGATCCAACGGCGGTAACATACAGCCGCATTTAGCGTTGTATGTAGAGGTGGGGGTTTCCGATGGTCCTCCGTCGCCGAGAGTGACTTCTGATGAGGATTGTGCTGGGGCTGAAGGAGAAGTGGCCGAAGAAGAAGTGACTTGGTGAAGGAGAGGAAGAAGGGAGAAGAAGAGTATGAAGAAAAAGAGATGAGAGGATGAAAATGCTGCAAATGAGATGTGTTTGCAGGCCATTCTCGTGTCTTGTATTTAGCTCCGGCCTAGCTCCAGTCTTTTTTCCTGAACGCAAGTTGAATAGAGTGGAGGACCAATGCATTTATACGAGACTTTTCATTTAGAGAATACGGAGTATATAGACTTAAAAGTAATGTCATGACTCATGATAATTACAAAATGGGACATTATTACTCAGTGATATCCTTTGTCTTTTTTAATAAGGTATGGTTGTATCCGTTTGACTTTCATATTTGCTAACGCACAATTTCGAAGTATATACTCTCTTCGATTCTGATTCTTTTTTACACTTTCCTCTTTACACTTCCTTATTTATCTTATTTGGCAAAAAATTTTACATAAAACAGTGTGCAAACAGTGTCCAAACAGTGCCAAACAGTGTACTCTACAGTAAAGTCAAATTTACTTCCTTAAAACCTGTGAAGTCAAAGTGTAAGAAGAATCACAACCGGAGGCGGTACTAGTAAAAAAAATCGTGGTTAAAGTAAAAAGTGTGAATATTGCAAAAATCACAGTATTGCAACAACTAAAAAACGAAAGAAATATTATATTATGCATTAACAAATATGGAGTAATGAAAAGAAAACACATGATGATATTCATACATGTCATATGTCATTATATTAGGGGGGAAAGTATGGCATTCCATCTATGAGACCCCAACATCGTTCAAACAGTTAATTGAGAAGATGTAATTAAGTTGGATTTTAATCACAGACTGATAGATAGTGAGTGAACCAAGTACTTGCAGAGGCCTTATACTAGATCATAGTAACGTGTAGTCACAATTGTCAGGATCGATCCTGATACATACCCTTTATAGCACTCCTTATCTATTAGCTGAGCTAGGCCCATCGGCATATTATAAGGAAAAAAGAAGACAATTGTTATAGGGTCCTTCTCAATGTTTCATGCTCTGGGTAATTTCGATCTCTTGAAGTTAATAGCCTCTCCATCTCTTATAACTCAAAATTGTTATATGTTTTTCTTTAATCAATTAGAATATCTTTTGGACTTGTTACAGACGTAGACAATAGTTAATCACGCTTAAAATGTATTTATACCGGAGTAGACCATGCCAAATATAAACACAATAAATTATATCAGACTAGATCAAACCAAATCAAATAAGGTTAGAAATTAGCAATCAAAATAAAATCTACTTCTCCCGTTTCACTAAAATTGTTTAATCTTTCTTTTCGATCTGTCACATTAAGATTGTCTCATATCAAATTTGTTAAACTTGTGTGGTTGATTTAAATCATTATCTTACTTCATCGAATTAATACCAACTATACAAGCTCACTTTTCTTAATGATTGTCCCGAAGGAGACAATACATTATTACTTTTCCATTTTCTACCCAAATCTCACACCCATTTTTGTTATTATTATAGACAAAAATGATCTTTGTAAAAGTCAATCTATAGAAAAGTCAATCTTGGTAAAATTATACGGATTAAGGAATAAAGAAGTTTGAAGTTTGAAGTGATGGATAATTTGATCCTTTGATTGAATTGGAATTGTTTGTAGCTGCCAGCCACATGTCACTGTCTATACTATGCATGCCCATGCCCACCAATTAATAATGTGAAGTACAATTTTAATGAGGCCGTTGGAGATGCTTTAGCTGCAGTTATTATATGCATGTTATGTTATTAGTTGGTTGCAGTACTATACGCCTTCTACGCTGTGTGATGTCGATCATATGGGATATATGGTTCGGATCTTAGTTTTCATTTTACATTAATATCGTTTTGACTAAATTAATTTAAACTAATTAACAATGGTGAAATGTGACACCACTGTTTTCTTTAATTCCGGAACAACTTATATCAATATACAGAAAATGGACTCAAAAATAACTTAATAAGTAAGAAAATTAAGGTCTTAAATTAAGTAAAAAATTGTGCATGGAGAAAATATCCCTATTATTAACTCCGTCAGTTTTTAGTTAGCCATCTTTGATTTTTTAAGTAAATGATCATTAACTTTGATCAATCATTTTAACTGATACATTTATGCAAAGCTTGTAAATTTTATACTTTAATGATAGTATTATAGGGTACGCGCTATGGGTGACCTATGCTCAATGTATTGAGGAGAATAGGAGTAGTAAAGAGGAATCATATTTGTGTATTCTCTAGCTCACCTTTTCATATGCACGTTGTGTCCCAATGTGAATAAAAAGTAACCAAGCAAAGTTCTCTATTAATTCATATATTATATGTGTCATATTTGTGGGCAAAACTAAAGTAAAACATTGAAACGAGTTCATGTGATTAGTTCAAGGGCGGTAGCTTTTTATCGGCAGTTTGGTCTGATGAAACTGGACCTTAGACATTAGAGACTAACACAATTCATGCAATGCTATTCAAAAGCCTAGAGCAATGACTTTGTGGAATGGTGTCCACATGGGTTTACCCGGCCCACGACTTTGTTTGTGTTGATTGAATACAGTCGACTTTATAGAGTTTTTAATAAAAAGTTTATTATAAGAAGTTTAATGAGTAAACACAAGCTAAGATCAATAAGCTAAGTGTTAGTGTTTGATAGGAGCTCAGAGTTCAGAGCTAGTTCAATTGAAACGGTCCAGCACACAATTACATGATACGAAAAGTAAATAAACAAACTAATTCTTTACATACATACCTACATATACATTATTATAAATTCTCCCTAGATAAAACGTTTTAGATTCATGTTTTCCACTTTGCGTGTCTAAAGTTTGAAATATAGTCAATTAGTCATCAGTTTCCACGCACCTTTTTTATTATTTAGCTAAACATGAAGTTCACTTGAGATTTGTTTCAATGTATTTACTTTAGAGCATTCTTTATTCTTATATTGAACTCTAACATCTATAACAGCGCGTCTTGTTTGCTAATAATATATACTACCTCCGTCCCACTAAAATTTATGTGGTAGATATTGAATTGATAAAGTAAGAACAAGTAAGAATGATTTAGAGTCACACAAACTTCACTAAATTTGTATGAGCCAATCTTAGTGACATTTCCCTGAAAATAAAAAATGAGACAAACATAACAAGACGGAGGGAGTAAGTAAGAAGAAATTATGAGATTGTTATAATTGAAATGATAAAAGTACATATATATAACCATAATATTAGCACATAACGATGTTGTCATTAACCAATTTCCACAAATTGAGAAGCTTTTTTGTAATTTGCAAATTGTTAGCAAATGGTAATAGTCGATGATAAATTTTTGGTTTTTCTGCCATTAAAGGGATTTCAGCACTAGGTAAGTTTACTATGACTCTTATTCCAGGTTTTTCACTTTATCATTATCAACGTGTTCCTTTTCCAACTAACCTCCTACAATAATGTGAAATTTGATTCACTAAAAATATAGTAACCTTTTGAACATATATACTACGTACATGATTTTTAAGAGTAGAGATTTTTAATTGAGCCTTTTTAAAGTAGGGAAGCATAATCAACAATTTATTTGTACAAAAAACTACGATGCACTTCGCTTCTCGTACACTTGAGCGTGACTACGTGAGAATGTGAGATGGTGCAAGTGTACAACCGAACTCTTCCAAATACGGGCGAGTAGCATAACCTTTTCTCACTAAAAAGCCAAAATTATAGTGGCCTGTGAAGGCTATGATTACTAGTGTCAATCCTAAAAACTTTTATAATTAAATGGAACTTGGAAAAATACACACATATGCATATAATGTATTTATTTTTTGAACAACACAACTACACAAGTAAAACTTAAATACTACTCCGTATCTATTTAGTATTAACACAAATTACTCTATATTGTGTTTTAGCCAACACAAGTTATAAATGATAACTTCTATGGTCTTTTACTCCAATTGTTACTAGTGAATGCACCCATATCTCAAGCGTTGCGCCCATGCGCAAATGAGTTTGTCTATAAAATAACTTGTTACCCAGCATGTTCTTATGGACGGGTGGATATGGACATGTGGTTAGGCATGTTTTTGTGAAATGGATCAGGCCCGCCCACATCAATGTACACAAAATTTAGAAAGAGTCCGGCCTAAGCCTGTTTATGTGGAGGACTCCAAAATAATAGCAAGGATAACCATAAAGTTTGGGTTCCAAAAATGACCAAATTTATGACCTTTCCTCATAAAATCACGATCCTTATTATGGGCATCACTTTTCAGTCTAAGGATGTTTTCAGACTACTTTCAATCCTATTATACTAGATCAAACCAAATCCGACCAAATCAAACCAAACTAGATCATATCAGACTTATTAAATAAATTAGACCGGTTCAGATTTCGACAATTGTAAAATACACAAAAATGAGACATCTATGTACCAGATCAGGGACTTAAAAACACCAGATTAGGCCAAATCAAATAGAACTGAAAAATTCAATCCAGTTAAAATCATCCTAACCTACCTAATTCCATGCCATTGTTTCATCAGTCATCACTGCGAATTATCATATCATGTAGTAGTACTTTATTATATATCCGCCACACATGCAATAAGATTATTGAATTGTAGCATATATACAAACGTGATACGTGCAAACATATTATCCTTTGACCAACATCATCCATCATTTAAGAATGGCAGATTGATCTCCGCAAATTTGTGAACTGAAACAATGAAGTCGTGGGTAGAGGCGGTACCGATGAATTTTTGGGCACCACACAGTCGCAGCTGACAGCAGAACAAGGGTATACAACTACACACCCATACATATGCTGGGCCTAACATGGCTCCATTAATAAAGGGCACTGTTTACTTGTGTATTCAGCCCAAATCATAAATGAGGATTTTCTTAAATTTTATTTACTACTACTGTTTATTGTTTAATTAAGTTTCTAATTTTATTCACAACTTCGAATTTCATCCCAATTATTTATATAGAGCACACATAAGCTACTACGTATAATAAATAAGAAGTCCGTACGACCGTACTTGAAATTCATGCTCTTAATTAGACCTGCACAAAACCGGGCCGGCCCGCCCAGCCCGCCCAACCGCCCGCACAAATGGGCGGGCTTGGGCATATATATTTACCCACCGGGCCCGGCCCGGCCCGGCCCGCAATAACATATGGGCAGGCTTGGGTTAGGGTGTAGGCCCATTCGGGC